CTGTGAAATTGACAGCAAATATCAGCGAAAACAGCATGGATTTTTTGGACACCACGGTGTCAAAGGCAACAACTTTCTTTCTTCTAAAAAATTAGCCATTAAAGTATTTTTTTTAAGGAAACTGATACCCAACAACTTTTATACAAAAGCTCGTTCCACCCGAAGCACACATTTTCTGGAATAATTAAATCTCAAATTCTAAGATTTCATAGAATTTGCACCCAGCAGGCTGATTTTGAATCCGCCTGTAAACTAGTTTTTGACAAATTAAGGGAGAGGGGTTATTCCAAAAGGTTTCTTCGAAAAATTAAGAATGACACGCTTTCAGACATTTTTAGAAAAGAAGAACCCCCTCCACCTTTTATTGGATTCGGTTCATTTCCTTGTGGAGGTCCTACTTGTCGCACATGCGAACACATACGTTTTACCCATTTTTTCAAAAATAACAAGAACGGAAAATTGTTTGCGATGAATAACCTAATTTCTTGCGGAGATCAAAATATCATATACCTAATTTCTTGTAAAAAATGCGATGTACAATATGTTGGCGAGACTCAAAATGCGCTTCAAACGCGATTTAATGGCCATCGCTATGATATAGTGCATGGCAAGGATAGACCAATTGCGAATCACTTCAACCTTCCCGATCATTCCATTGATGACCTTCTCATCATGCCTATAGAAACAGTTTCTACATCATCTAGCATGAAACCTAAGCTTAGACGTCTACAACGCGAAAGTTATTGGATCGATCAACTGCAGACTGTGAGGCCAAATGGACTCAACATTCAACATGATAACCAGATAATACCCTTTATAACGACAATTGATTCTAAAGCTACCAAAGCCTCCATAATAGTCAAACGCCATTACTCGGAACTTCAGAACAAATTTCCCCATGTATACACAAAAAGAAATCAAAATCTTAGTAATTTCCTCTTTCACGGTAGACTTGAACCATTGAACAATGTCCATTCATCCTAGGAGCATAGATTTGTTAATATAAATGTATCATGTTCTATCAATAAATTAATCTATTTCTGAGTTAGATTTCAAGGATTACTTATTTCAGGACTGGTGCCATGGCTATATACAGTATATTATATAACATGCAGTGTATGTTTGTGTGTGTGTCTTTTCAACTAAAATCATACTAATGACTAACTAATTTTCACATAATCAATAGACTTATCTATTGCTCTGTGATCTAGGCCAGTGCTTTCATTGAGACTCGTCTCAATACACCCTAACACTATCTGTCTATAGGTTTTAAAGTAGGTTTGACTGTATATAATGCATATAAATATTAAAAAGATTGTAAATATCGTTAGTCATGGTAAAAAATATTTTAATGTTAGGGACCAAGCTATTGTTAGTAGAGTGCTACTAATGTCTTGAACGGACTCTAAGTGTACACAAAAGAAAAAAAAACAAAAAAAACGTTTAGTACTTTGCTATTAAAGAAGTGTGTTATACCATGATATATAACCTTGTGTTTTCTGTATTATCACCAAAACAGAAATAGATTAACAACCAGATTCAATAGCCATTGTAGGTTCGTCGAAGCAGTACGTTGACATAGAGGGACTGGATGAAAGAGGTTAATGTACAGGGGTAGATGAAATGAAATGAATGGAGTTTTCCGTCCTACTTAATCTATAGGGGGAAATGAATGTTGAAGCCAGTGGAGATACAAAGGGAGGCAATGGTTTGTACCCCCACTTCATTTCAGACAAATACAAAAATATGATTTTTTTTTTATTTGGTTATGAAGATAATATTTACAAGGATACACGCAATCATATTTACAAGATGGGTGGGTATGGTATATTTACAAATAAATGGGCAAAATCACACAGAAGGGCGGAGTCAACAACGGATGTATGTGTAAAATCGTATTAAGCAATTGACTTAGCTCCACAATGTCAAGCTATTACAAACTTTGTACTTATACCTTGATTGCAATATTTTATTCTTGTATCATGAATTACAGCGATTTGATTGGATTGTACGCTAGCGTTAGGCTGTAAACATTATATTTTTGTGTTCAATCAAATCGCTTCATTTACAAACTACCACGATACAAGAACGGTTGTTATTGCATTCAAGATATAAATATGAAGTTCGTAATAGTTTGACATTGTGAAGTTGTCTGTAACTATGCTCTGGATTTTCGCGAAACTAGTTGGTCAAAGATCGATATATAAGTTAGTCATTGACTCTGTAACTAGACTAAATTTTAAACTTTTTATGAGTATAAGGGACACTGATGGCATCGATTTGCACTATTCAAATTTTCAAACGCCCGATGTCACTATCGCTAAAGATCTTATTTAATATTAGCAGCTTTTGCGATAGTAACGTCACAAAACGCTAATTTAAGTGGAACCCAAGAACCACAAGTGTCCAAATGAAAATTCCATCAGTTTCCTCGATACCCAAAAAAAGTTTAGACTAGAACTGTGAACAGCTCCGAGCGTGGCAGGGCTTTTGGACCTATGGAAACTTCTAGCCTGTTAGATTTTCCTCTTTACTAACATAACTTAAGAGTATAAGTAATATAAATTAATGTAATTTGTTGAAACGTGATGGTATGAGAATATAGTACATGTCTGAGCAAAAACCAATTGTGCTTTCAGTTGCTTAGAACACAGATATTTAAGGTTTGATTAAAGGGAGAGGCAGCGCCATATTTTTTAACTAATCATACCTTAGCTATTTTTTGTAGCCCCAATCAGTAATAGTGTTTATGAGCGTCCAGAATCATCCGCGTTTGAAAGTTAAAAAGACGAGTCGTCTTTTCTTGAAACACTGTCTACAGGAAAGACATCTTTAGAAAAGAAATTCCTAGTTTGAGATATTTTTGAATGAATTATGCGATTTTCGTACATTTCAAGTACTTCTGAAGAATATTTACATACATTCAAGACTCAAATCAACCTCCGAAAAGGGCGCATCTGTCCCTTTAATACCTACGAAAGCCGATATATAGCAAGTCTCTCAAAACGAAATTAAATATTATTGAGTCACTAACTATCTCGCTATATCGACATTTCTTAGTTTTTAAAGATGTGTTTCCTTATGTTTTTTAGAGTCGAATTAAGCAAACTATATGATTAATTGGTGTTTCTAATGAATTATCATGTATTCTTAATCATATCTTTATGTTCTTATTTCATATAATTAAGGGTTTTAACCAATCATAGATATCCCGTGTATTTACAGCCTGGATAAACAAAACAATACTTTTTGACCTTTCTTGATCGATCACTCATTGAAATTTTGCTAGTAATTCTCTTCTAATTTAGCTAATTATGAATTAATTATGGACATGTGAGACAAACTGGTATTTTTCATTAGAACACCTCCACTTTCTATTCATATAAGAATTAGCATTTTCATTTTCAATGAAAATAAGGGAACACATCTTTAATGAAACTTCAGATACCTGTGTTTTAAAATTAACAACAGTCAAATATAATAGGGTGCTAAATGATGAGAAAGATACACAAGTACAGCACACGAGTATAAATGGTATGAAGTAAAGAATCGGAATCTCTTTGTTTCTCGGAGTAATTCGGTGCTGTTACTACTTATTGGCAATATATGCGGCAAATAACTCAAGGTGAATTTGAAAAAAATTACTACATAAAAAATTGAAATATGATATGATTTGAAGTCTTACTAGACCAACCCTCCCAAAACTCTTCACGTTTATTGAAAAAAAACTTAATCCATCTAAACTTGAAAAAAAAACTAACGTAACATTTGTACAAAATAAATAAATAGAATGCAGTGACTGATCAAATTCAGAATTTGATGTTTTGTCGTTGCTTGTTTTTTTTTTTTGCCGGTGACTCCACTTGTCATCCATCTTCTTGTGAAAATTTTCATGTACCACGAGTTCTAGGTCATTAAAATTTCAACCAATCGTATGATATATAACAAACAACATAAGGTTATTTACTATGGTATAACACACTTCTTTACAAAGTACAGAACGTTTCAACACAATTTACACGTGTCATCAGATGATTGATTTGATGACGACACATGTAAATTAGTTGAAACGTTCTGTACTTTGTTATTTAAGAAGTGTGTTATATATAATATATTCCCTTGTGGTTTTGTTAAATGTGCTCTCCGCTTCCAAATTGTCTTTCAAATGCAATCATATGACATATACAATCCAAACTTTGTCTAAGGCATTCTGGGATATGGACAATTGACGCCTAATAAATAAATCCATTTTTAAAGCGTATGAATTGTTCAGCCTAAATAATACACAATCGAGTTACAAATTTCCTGAACACGAGTTAAAGAAGAATATTGATCGATCATGGATGGTACAGTTACTGACAAAAAACACAGAACGAAACATCTATATGTGTTTGATCAGATTTATAGTATTGTGAAGGCATGCAACTATTTACAATGAATCGAGGAATTATTTCCTCTTATTGTGGTGCATTGTGATTATATTCTTACAAAGAACATTGTTGATATTGTATGAATATGTCCTACTTTATGACACTTTCTTGTTGGCTTAACAGCGGGGTTGACTAAAACCTCAAAACAATTCAAATTAACCACACTTGTTGTACATCCTAACCAATCAAAATATCAATATAGGGTTTGAATAAGACTCCATAACAACTCAAATAACCTAGATGGATAAGATGGTGAAAATTCCTAGAATTTCATGAATCTACACTTCTTGAATCTATTTTGCCCTTCTTGAAGTTTTGGGCGTTGTCACTTCTCTATGCATTTTTCACAAACACAAGTTCCTTGTGACACGGGATACACATAGTTCTCATGGGATTCCTTTATATCCACTTTCTCCAATCAGTAATTCCTATTTGGTTATACCATATTATGCTAAATCAAGGGCAATAACTCACTAAACTATATACGATACAGAGCACACATTTCGTCATTCACCCTTCTAGCACCAAATATGGTCATATTATGACTAGTCTATGATTGGCAGGTATTCATTACGTCAGAGACACGCCCATTCGTCTTAATGCTAACATGGCGTTGATGGCTTTCTGAAATTAGAAAAAGGGTCAACCTCAATATATTTCTCTTCTGATAGGATACTATGACAGAGATCTTAATATTCTGTACCTGATATTTTCAATTCAACGTTTCGGTAAAATTTGAAATTGTAACAGCTCGCATAATGGAACAAAATAAAAGTGCTAGGTACTCAGTTTTACCATTATAGGAAGACATTGCAAGAACTTCACACTCTACATCTAAATCCGAGAGGGATGAACTAGTGTGGTTCTTATTCACCCCGTTCCCTCATCACCCCCTAAAAAGAATTTAAAGCTACAAACCTGCCACTTTCGTCTGTACACAAATTTCTTTAATCTTTTCTTGGATAACGACCTTTCTGGTAAATGACCTTCACGTTTTAGTGATCTCTGTAATAGTGAAAATAATAGTTTTAATCTTCCTGTCATATTACAATAATATTAGATAGGACTCGTATGAACTTTGTCACTTTGTTAGAAATTGTTGTTTTTTATCTTTCTAGTTTTGTGTTTCAAGCAGCAAATCAACCGCCCAATTGCTCGCTAGATATGGAATACCTATTGTCACTGCGCGATTGTGCTTGTCAATTTCTTTAAAAGGGTGCAAAAAAGATTTTGTGACAGGCCATATTCATCGTGTAAAAGCCTTGTGATATAGGGTTACAATGGTCGAGATGAAACCTTCGGATTTTTCAACCCTGTGTCCCTTTGTCAGTGATGCAGGTAAGAGGGCCTGACATGGCAAAAGCTAGTCGTTCGGATGGGACAATAAACCGTGTGCTACAGGCTTTGCACCTTAAAGATCCCTCGACAGTTGGAAATCGACCCTCAGAAAGATCACACCTACTAAATAGATATTAATGTATATTCTTACCCTGAGCCACTGATGTTCCAAGCAGTCATTAGCAGACATTCTTTTCCTGAAATAGATAAATATTCATTGTTCATATTTCATTTGTGGGATTCTGTTCAGAGATATGCCCAGATCGTTAAATGGAGTTATCTCCCTTGAAGTATTAGCTCGTAAAATATCAAGTATGAAGATGCATAGGCCTAATCTTAATCTTTCTCTTAGAAATAGATCAGGTTTAATTCTGCAACCCGTTTCATCTGTCCATCTGTAAAATTGAGCTCATAATATAAATACACCAAGTGCTAACAATCCGGACCAAAAATAACTCAAAATCAAAAACAACATTTTAGCGAAACATTGGTAGCAGCTAATGATGTCTTTCATATAGTACCATTAGTAAACATCATAAATATCATCAAAGATTAATACACGATATCACCAGACAAAATTCCAATTAGTAAATTTACTTATACATTTCCATGTGTATATAAAAAAAAGTTTGATAGCATTAATGAAGACCAAGGTTTTTCAGTACTCTTGATCAGCCAGCCTTAGATTGACTTCTATAACACTTGACTGTCTTGTCAATCGAGTATAAATTCTGATATCTGTATTTTTGATGTTAATTGGCAGGTAATCGGTCCAAAGTGAGTATAAAACACTTAATTATTTCCTGGATTTCTGATACAAAATTGTAGTGGTTAGATGTTTTGGACTAATAATACGACCCTTACAAATTTATAAAATTTTTATAGTATGTTTTCAAGATATCTGAAGGTCAAATAGTTTGAAAATAGTTCATACTATCAGTGGCGGAGCCAGGTTTACGTCTGAATATAAAACAAGAGTTAAACTCTAGGCAATAATAAAATTCAAGGTATTTTGTACTATTTCTTAATTGTTTTCCATTTAGAATGTCAAGTAAAATCATGCTCACAAACTTACCTTTTATCTTTTAAGAGAAGTTTACTGATAAAGTCCTTCGCTTCGTTAGAAATACTGTCAAATTCCTCGGCATTGAAATCCCAGGTAGCGGAAGTGACGTTTGAGAGTGTTTCACATTCACTATCACCCATAAATGGAGACAGACCAGATAATCTGAAAATGTCGAAAAAAAAGTCAGTTATATATCAAGCCTTAAAATGGTTCAAAACGCTCATATCTACATTAAAATAATTGAACAATAAAAGTCTTATTTAAACGAACATAACTGAAAAAGCTCTTTGACGTTACATTTACATTTCCGAGTGTAGTTGTTCCTTAACACGACAGACGGTGACGTTTTTGCATAGACTGAAAAAAATCTTTGACGTTACATTTACATTTCCGAGTGTAGTTGTTCCTTAACATGACAGATGGTAACGTTTTTGTATAGACTATCGTAAAACTATTCCGTCAATTCAATAAAATTTTGTTAATGTGTAATCGTGAAGAGGATTTTGTATGCAAATAAGGATAATATATAAATCAACAATGAAATATTGATGAAATATGCATATGAAATAATAAAGCCAATACAAAGATGGTAAAACAGGCAACAAATTTTTCGCAACTCTAAAATTTGTGGTTTATGGTCGAGGCGTTATGGAATGACCACAATGGACAAACTAATGATTAGTTTCTATGCATGGAATCGTTTGCAAAGAACCAAAAAAACTTACAATACATAAGTAATAACCCCGACACTCCACATATCTGAGGCTGTGCTGATAGGGTCAAAGTTGATCACTTCCGGTGCAACAAATTCTGGTGTTCCAAATAACACGCGTAAATCTTCTTTTGGATTGTATTTTCTGGCCAGACCAAAATCTATGATTTTTATTCTGTTTCCTTCTCTGGATAGACATAAAATATTTTCTGGCTGAAAAATACATAATTATATAAATAATATAAGTTGAAATTCTTCAATTCAACTTGTTAACATAGCTATAGATATTTATTGTGGTATTTGGTTTTGTCAACTTGTCATCCCATTCGGATAGTCTGCATAGTTAGGAGGTATCCCTTTCAGGAACTGATATAACAAATACCCTTTATTTGGCTTGCAGTTTTATAGAAGTCCATATGATATATGTGTTTTATTGGCTGTAAGACTAATTTGCTAGTGCAACGCAAAAGTGAGTTAAAATGCGATGGTATTTAAAGGTGCAGCACTCGAGAAATATATCAGACGGAATTGGCATAGCTTTAAAGGTGCAGCGCTCGAGAAATATATCAGACGAAGTCAGCATAGCTATGTTGTTCCTTAAGTTGATTCTAATTATTAAACGATGACGGTTTTAGTTTTTCACTAGGATTGTGAGCTGATATAATTTTAATAATTTCATTAGATGAGTCATGACCGTATGTTATTAATTATTATAGTTATTACTCTAGGCAAATTATTTATTTTCTAAATAATATTCTACACTCCTATATACAATTATGGAGGCAATTAGTGGCCGCTGAGCTTTCGTTTTGACTCATCGTTCTCAAGAAAATAAGAACGTGAAAATTGGGAAAGAATTCCTTCTAAAAACGAATGATAAGCATGTGGAGACGCATTCTGTGCGAAAAAGTTATGAAAAGTTGACCTACAATTGTTATTGAAAGCAAATTAAAAGGAAGACTGTGATGGCTCAATGATAAGCATAAAAGAGACTTGTTAAATCTATTTCGTGATAGACGGTATGAAAGTAGACCTTCATTCATTAATCTTGTCAACATGGAGGGATCGTTATGATAGGACAATACACTGAGGTCTGTTTTACTGACCGCTCAATCAACAAGCTAATACCACTGTCCTGACAAAATTGCCATCATTTCATACAAGGGAGTAGAAAAATGTGGCGTAAAAATTCATTTAGTTCATTAAATTATATTAAACTAATTAAAGCTTTCAGTTGATATATTGACATTGCTAGCTTGCATAATACAGTCTACCATAAAACATAATTCAGGTCGTGGTGCAAAAGTTTCCTCTTTACCCACTGCATGGCGTTGCCCGTATTCACTAGCACACTGAAGTTGAGGAGATCGTTGAACTTCATTTCAGTATAGTTTATGTTGTAACTAATTAAGCGTTTAATTGATATATTGCCATCATTGGCTTCCATATAACAGGCTATCATAAACTATATTACGGGGTTAATTGGTTCATAAATCGACCTAGTTTTAAAAATCATTTCCGTCTCACCTGACACAGACCGAAGTTTTAAGATATTATATTTTTGGTACATTTGTAAAGATGGAATGTAGGCCATGTTTTAAAGTGAAAACTAATGTTAGGAAACTTATAATGATGTCGAATCTTTTTATATATAAATATGACCGAAGTTTTAGGTTATACTTAGTGTATCTTTGTAGAGATAGAAATTAGGCCTTGTGCCCTTGTTTCAGAATTATACCTTTTTACTCAACATCTATGCATAGATATTACTGTGCAATAAATCTTTGCTCTGTACAGGGCCGAGCTTTCTTAGATCTTAAATGGATCGAAGTAGATAAGGCTTAAAAATTCAAAATCTTTAATGATACATGTTTTTTCTACCAAAAAAATTATATGGTCGTACAGTTTATTTTTTATATCTACGTAACTATGGAATGCAGACCGTGTTGAGAGGTACCACTGCGGAAAGCTAGACTAAATTGGCAGCCTTTATAAAGCTTTTAGAAGTTAGATAGATGACTCAAAAGAAACGCAGTTTAGAAACGGTAATTAAATAAGATTATTAAAAAGTTAATTAAAATATAGATGAAGATAATGATCATAACGCAGTCTGTTTCTGTTTCTGTTTGAAGTTTTGTATATTTATAAACATATAGCTAACAAAACTCTAATGTCTGGATCATTACAGTTAATTGGAATAGAGTTGTACCTCCTACCTATCAACTGTCCCTGGTAAGGCAATTGAAGTTTCGGACAGTTTAATTCAGTACCTGATAATGCCTTAAATGTACGTTCAGAAGTGTATTGATGTTTATGTTATTTGATTCGAGGTCCTTTTTACAGGGTCAAGAGACAAAGTGCACATGCTTTGAAATTAATTAGGTCATCCGATACCTCAAAATTTTGATAAATTTGAAATTCTTTCGAGATATTGGATATAATTCCATCGAAAATCAATTAACATAGAGAGAAGATAAAAGTTTCTTAAGCAAAGTTTCCTTAAACTATATTCGACATGTGCTTTAAAAGTAGGTCAACTGAAACACACAACTTTATATTTAAGGTATTTTTAACACATACTTTGAAGATATTAGAATAGGGGTCAACATCTTAAAGAAAAACAAATATTTTGCACATGCTTTGAAGAAATTAGGTCAAATATAACATAAGAATCCAGGTTAATATCTTAATTTATTCTAAAATCATTCAATCAGACGAGAAAATCAGGTGAACATCAAAAAAAAAAATCATAAAAGGAGACTTTAACATGAGGTAAAGTAATTAAGAAGAATCTGACCTAATTAAAAGCAGGTACAAGAGATATGGGTGTAAAATAATAGTTGATTGATCATGATTAGACGAATTCAGCATCTTCATTACTGCGAGATTAACTTTTATAGTGTGTATATTTTCTTGATTTAACACGAATTATTGATAACTGATCCTATAGTAAGGCTTATTTAGGAGTTATAAGTGTAATTAGACACATATATCGATGTTTTTCATTACTGGCCTACTGACCGCTGCCCTGATTTATCAAGAACAGTAAGCATTAATAATGACATTATTTCCTGTTTAAAACGTGTTCGATTTACATAAAACTGCTTGAATAAATAAGTCGAGCAAAACATTTCCACGAATCAAACTTCCGTCCAAAGAATGGCAAAATCAAGAGTAAAAGTTGTATAGTAGTCGACTACTCCGAATAGAAGTATCAACAGGTGTTTCGAAAATAGTAAGCATGGTCTAATTTGTGCATCACACCTTGAAATTGGTCGGAAAAAGTGATAAAAGTTGTTTTAGGTTACTTTCAGATGAACGAAACATATACGTGAGAATGAGGGCATCGAAACTCGTATAACTTTCACACTAGCAGGGGCGACAAACTTTACCAGGGGCCACAGGCTATTCTGTCACTATGTAAATTGAAAAAAATGAACGTAGGTGTATTAAGCCGAGACAGACTCTTTTTCTGTAGAAACGTCACTGAACTTTCACTTTCTCTTCATGTATTTCAAGAATATAACACAAGAAACTAAATATAAAGAGCAGCCGTAAAGTCTAACTGAGAACGTTAAATAGGAGAAAGTCAGTATTTGTTTGGCTATTCTGTGGTCACGGTATTTAGACATTTACAACCAGTCAGGAATGTATATTGGCTCATCAATATACTTTATAGGTTAAGTGATTTTCATGTAGCCAGTGGGCAAAAACATTCCACAGACACCATTCCTCACAGATACATGCCTTTGTTTGGTACCTTGTTACAGATCATCTTTTATGTTAATGAATAAGTTAAAAACAGTTGGGTTACTCAATTCTCCTTAGATTGTTTAGAAATTTATAGATCATTGTTTGTGTGAATATTTGAGTAACAAAAATTGCTTAACAATTAAGTCATTTTAACAATCATTGATGGATAGTTATCAAACGAAACGTTTTGCAATCCGAAACAAAATCCTCCCTTTCTTGACCTTATTGAACTAAAGAAATGAAATGAAGCTTTACGTCCTACATTTCCGCACCTTATTGGTTACGGAAAGGCAGGCAACACCATGTGTTGTGCCATAGCAAAATTTGGCCAGGAAAAGGACGTATATTTATCCTCTTAGCTCTGGCTTTATGAGACTGTCTAATGTGTAAAATAGCTGCCACTGTTTTTGGTATAAAATAGGATAAAATATTTAACAGTGTAGCTACATTCATGTCTTACTTATGAGTCTTTCTAATGGACCCCAAAACAATGGATATTTGAAACATCAAATCCCTGTCAGGGATAAAGTCATGGAGATTCCAACACCTCCAGGTGGTGAAAACTCCCATGTTCCAAGGGTTCTTATGTGTAATAGCTGCCGATTATTTTGGTGTAAAATAGGATAAAATATTTAAGAGTGTAGTTACCTTCATGTCTAAATGGAGAATGTTCTGTGAGTGCATAAAGGATACACCTTCACAAATCTGTCTGAGGAACATGACACACGCTTTCTCTGTGAGGATGAAGTCATCGTTAATCACACGTTCAAATAGTTCACCACCAGATATTCTGAAACGAAAATATGAAACGTAAAGGTCATATTTATTTTTGAAAACTTTGAGAAAAGATGTTAAAATAAGAGTAATACTCTGACTACATGACAATTTATTTTAAAGTGAGACCATAGTTAAAGATATGCGATTAATTGGTGTTTCTAATAAATTAACATATATTATTAATCATATCATTATGTTCTTATTGCATATAATTAAGAGTTTTGACGAATCATAAATGTCCATGTATGTACAGTCTGGATAAACTAAAAAAGGCTTTGATCTTTCTTGATCGGTCACTAATTGGAATTCTGCTGGTAATTCTCTTATAATTTAGCTAATATATGACAAACTGGTATTTTTCCAAGTAATTAGATCACCTCTACTTTCTATTCATACAAGTACTAGCATTTTCATTTTCATAAATGAAAATAAGGGAACCCATCTTTAAATGTAAATATAATGCTTGGTGTCTCTGTGATAGTGGTGTCTTTGCTAGAACCGTACATGTTTGACTTAAGAATGGACAGGTGCAAAAAAAACTTCATTAATCTCTTTACAATGCCTTAAAGAAAGATGATATCACAGGAAATCAAGATATCAGTTGACGTCGAATTTGAGTGTAGATTGCTTCAGTGCAAAAAAAGTAAACACGATTAGTCCAGAGGCGTTTGATTTATTTTTATTTATATATTACGAATAGATTGGGGCTAATTAGACGATGAAAATAGAAATTAAAAAGTAAAAAGAATAAATCATGGTTTTAACAGCACGATTTCCTGTGGGGGAGGGGGTTCGAGTAGGCATTAAGTCGGTCAAGGAGAGGAAGCTTCTAACATCAAACGTTGCCAAAAGCTTCAACTTTTTAATTTTCAACAGTTCATTTTTAGTTTATAGTTTCCTAACCATAATGCGTAGTTTGTTTGTTTGTGACTCGAGAAACGTGCCGCGATCAGCGTGGCTCAGTAAGTTATCCAATTACCCCCCAAGTTCAGAGCGTAATCCAAGTTAAAATGAGGGGAGGTGGATATATAATACATAATGGAAAAAATGACACTTTTAAAGTTTGGTTGTCGTTTCGTTACTCCACTATCTTGTCACCTGCATCTTCAGAATGTCAAGCTATTACGAACTTCATCTTCACAATGTCAAGCTATTACTAACTTCTTCTTCACAATGTCAAGCTATTACGAACTTCATCTTCAGAATGTCAAGCTATAACGAACTTCATCTTCACAATGTCAAGCTATTACGAACTTCTTCTTCACAATGTCAAACTATAACGAACTTCATCTGCACAATGTCAAGCTATAACAAACTTCATCTTCACAATGTCAAGCTATAACGAACTTCATCTTCACAATGTCAAGCTATTACGAACTTCTTCTTCACAATGTCAAGCTATAACGAACTTCATCTTCACAATGTCAAGCTATTACGAACTTCTTCTTCACAATGTCAAACTATAACGAACTTCAGCTTCACAACGTCAAGCTATAACGAACTTCGTCTTATATGTCTTCACAATGTCAAACTATTATGAACTTCGTCTTATACCTTGACTCTAATATGCAGCGCTTTCATTGGAGTGTATTCTCGATATAAAGACAGTTAACATTTTGGCTTCTTATTTACAGACTGTTGAGGCCTCTCATTTGCATACAGTCCAACCAAATGACTACATGTGACATAAGAATAGTGGCTGTAGTCAAGGTATAAGACAAAGTTAGAATAGCTTACAAAGCCCTTATTCAACGATATGGAACGAGATAAAAGTTATTTATAGATACCGGAAGTCAAAGATCTAAAAACAGTCAAACAACAGAGGCATTGTTTCCGACTTATACACTGTAAGTAAATTTCTTGAATAAATAAACCAAGTACTAACGACCCGAACCGCAAAACGAACCCGAAGTCCAGACAACAGTGGTAGCTAATGAACTTTTTTGAAGTTTATCAATCATAAATCAGTAGGTATTTCATAATGAAAAGTGGTATCAGGTGATTAGAAGATAAATCAACTCCTGTCTGGCTTTGGTAATATCGAGTCCATTTGGAACAGTGTCACGCACGCGAATTTAATAGAACGAAACATGTTCGTTGCTATCGGGTACATTTAGATGATTAGACACGCCATGGAGTGTAAAATTATACAGACATTTGAAACGTCAATTATAAAACACTCTACTCCAGTATAAGATGGTAAGTAATAATAAACAATACTCTAGGAAGGATATGGCACTTGGAACTGATATTCAGCACACGATAAACATTCTTAAATAAGTATTCATTGTTTTTTCAGTAATTATTGCTGTCATATTAAATACTCGAGTCCTTGAACGAAGAGTGTCAAGAAACAATGACCTTAAAGGTCAAATCGGATGTGACCTCCTCCACGAAATGTTTTGTCCACGACAAGAATCAACCATCTACGTACGTTGACCTCTGTTTATTTTTTAAAGAAATATTGGGGTTTATCATTGGGGTCGATTGGGGCTTTTTTTGCACCATTCTGATTTCCGGTTCGATGTCTTTTGTAACTAAAGAAAACTACACCGGAATATGAATGCAAGCATGAAAGCATTTTACACATCTAAGCAAAATAATCCTGGTGGGGATTGTGTATCCGAAACAGCCTGAGATGAACTCTAGTCAACATCTTTGTACTGTGAAATTTTCTCGCTCTCAGAGATCAGAGATCGCTTACTTTGATCACACGCCCATAATTCAAGCTTCATTGATGAGGAATTTGTGGGTACATATCAATTAAGATGTACTTACAATTCTAGCACCAGACAAACACAGTTTTTCTTCTCGAAGGCGTCGTATAGTTGTAACAATCGGGGATGTTGTAGGTGTTTCATAATTTCAACTTCATTTAAGATTTCCTTTTTATCTTGTGGTCCATTCATTTCTATGAATTTAGCTGCCAACATCCGGCCAGATTTCTTCTCTGTGCATTTCTTCACTTCTCCAAATTTTCCTCTGAAATCAGAACACATGGTAAAATGCACGTGCATTCGTGAATCTAAAAAGATCTGAATACTGTATCGTTAAATTCATTATCGTCATTAATATCCACTTGTTAGTGGTCACCATTTCTAGTAAGTTATTAGCATTTTATATAGTTTCAGTATACCAAACACCAAGATACGAACTGGAGTTTTACCGGGTGGAAATATAGAAGTTTGGTAGACCCTACTTACCTTCCTAACATAACATCTTTCACGTCATATTCTCCTGTTACCCATTTATCTTTCTTAATTACAACATCTCGACATTCAAACGGTGGCTCTTCCACTGGAAACAGAAAAAAAAATCACATAATTTTTAATCGTGAAAAAAAACAGTCCAGTCGTCCAAACTCTATTGAAGGACATTCAACGGTTGTTTAATGCTGTTCAATAATTTCTCCGTCTAATCAACTTTGGAAGCTGAAACACCGTTTAAATCTAGGCGCATATACCAATCTCCCTGTGGATACACACGAACTTGACTGTTGGAAGCCTTGTTAACTAATTAACCGTCAGACATCTATTTAATATGCATTTTAAGAACGATGCTTGGATTTTGATAATAGTATTGACTCATTTGATTTCCTTAATAATAGGTTCATGGGTGGGGCATCAATAGAAACCAGTTCAAAAGACTTAGGGTGAGAATACAAAACTGCAATACATGCAATTTTATGTTGATAGTAGATTAAACTAATAATAATGTTGCCAGTTTTCAGAAATCTGGTGAATTAGTTTCAACTTAACTGTAAACAGCTGTTCAGGTAATTTGATAAAAAAAAACGCCAGTTAAAAAAAATGCACCCAGAACAAGATTCTGCGATGTTTACATAGACATCTAATGAGGCATTGGTAAAATACCTGGGTACAAATTTCACTTAATATCTTGGTACACGATTGCAACTCATATTGAGGTAATTATAAGATACAGCAGAGATCGTCTTGTGATAAGTGTATGTCAACATCAAGTTGTTTTGGAAGTTAGGGCATGAAACAGATTTTAACAGTAATTGGTATCAGTGTGTAAAACTTTTTTTTTAGAAAACGTGTGTCGAATTCAGGTAGAATGATCGTTGAATATGAATTAATCTTGACAAAGCAAAATATCACTGCAGTTGGAGAGCACCTCCTATCCCCCCCTCCCTTCGCAAAAAGTGTATTGACCTCCTGAAACAATTTCCAAAAAACAAGAATTTTCATTACTTCAACTGAAGACCATACCCAATTGTCCTTCTGGGTATATTACTTGACCGCGCCCCACTCCCATCCCCTTCCAACCCATCTTAAGTCTATAGCAACCTAATACGGTCCGATGTTGACTGAGGCATCACAAAAAGATAAATATAGAGATAGAAAAAAAACGAAAACAAGTTTATCAAGGATTAGTCTGTGAATTCAATCATAATTTGTCAGCCTCCTTCATTCCCTCCCACTCATTGCTATCAACACTGAATGAACGATCTTTTATATTTTATCTTACTAGCTTCATAAAAACAATAATTGTGACTACATCGTTCTCCTGACGGCCAAATATTTATCAATATAAATAACAAATATTAAAAATGGGTAGAGCCGACGAAACATTCCGTAGATAGGCCTCGGCGGCTGGATCAAGACTGTACAGAGTCATACTGCATGCAAGAATTACAAATAATGGTAACAATTGTAACACATATCAATCTGTACCTTTCATTACTATAAGTCAGATCAGAAGTTCCAAATGGTGTAAACCAAGGTTCCGTCATTTGTCCTTCTCTATTCATTGTCTCTACAAATGACTATTAAAACACAGAAAGTTTGTTTCAATGTGTAGCTGAGCCTTTCTATAATTGTTTATTAATTTTTCCCCAGGCCTTAATTTGATAAAACAAGGGCCTTCCATGCTATCTTGGGCTTATTTCCATAACGCCTTTTTCCAATTCGCCCATCCAGTTCGACTTTTTACAGAACTCCAAGTCGCTGGTTCATTATTTTCGGGTTTCATTTTGACAGATTTTGATAAAACCACGAAATTTGACATGTTATCGTGATATCAAACTATCTTGAAGAATAAAGACGATAGTGTTGAACAGACAGGCAGACAGGCCTGGTTCCAGACTCGAGGATCTTATCAACATGGGAATTTACACAAACAACTCCAACTCGTCACCTTTGAAGACTGTGGGAATAATCTAATTATCTGAGAAATTTAAGGCATGCTTTTAGAATGTGTTAATTCCAGTGAAAACCCATTCTACGCTATTCGACGCTATAAAGTCTTATAAAATGTCAACTGATTAGTCTTATGTTTATGATTATCTGTATAATATTGGTCATTGATGCAATTCAACTAGTTCCTACTCATTCCTGGCTGCTATTCAAACACAAATTATGGTAACAGGGCAACCTTTTTCATTACTGTGCATCAATAAATCTACGATGAGTAACCCTTTATATGTTCAGTTCATCACTAAAGGCGCCCTCAAATCATAGCGATCATCAGCTGCGTATGGTTGCGAATAATGGAAATCGCCATAAAGACGTAACGCAACTCACAATCCAGTTGCATAAGAGTTGCGTTCAAAGTCTATTTGTGATAGTTGGGTTGCAGATTCTCTTTCAATTAACCAGACACAAAGTCTGAGAGAGTCTTATTCTTTGTTTATATAATATTATTCTTACTAAAATATCATATTTATAATGTTCTTATCTATATCGCCAATTATAAAAAAACTGAATGGATAATATTGTACAGCTAGTTGCACATATACGACAATAAAATCTATTGTATTGGAGCTTTAAGGAAAGTGATGAATTGCCACCCTCCTTGTCGAGCAAATGGTGGTTGTGAGGTCGAATCTCGATCGGCGTGCTAAAGTCCGATGACCTTGAATAATTCACTAATAATTCCAGTCGACCAAGCTGTAAATTGGTACGGATAATCAGGGAAAGATCAGTGCCAAGAAATTTGGCCCAGGACCAGCTGATAGAAATGATCCCTTGTGAACCTTAGCACTTGTAAGAATATCTAGCCTAAAACAAAATCTTGAAAGAAGCCCTTTCAGTTGGATACAAGCGTAAAACTTTTATTTGCAATTCTGTGTCATATTTGTTAAGCTATCTGTTCCGTATTTTTCATTTTCACCACCCTCGGCTTTTTAAGTCAGATACATTTTCGAGATTAATTTTACTGATTTTGATTATTCCAACGAAAGACGAGAATTTCACATTCTTTGATCATCAAAAGATATTCAAATGCAATGCTTTTAATCAAACCAAGGATAGAAAGTATGTAGAACTTGGTTGTATCACTTGGTGATAAGGCCTAATGAGTTAGTGTGGATAGACGAGTGATTCAAACACATTCCTTCGTTTACTGGTTTTGACAAATTAAACACTAACAAACTGTGGATTGTATTGATCACAAAACGAAATTTTTCTTTTGTTGGTATTTCTTTTTCTTTTTTTTTACAAATGGTGTGGTAAGTTTAATGTAAGGGGCCGCTCCCTGAATATGCCAGAGAGCATTTCCCTGGAGCAAGCACTTAAGCTTGGAATTAAAAATAGAGATAACACGAAAGCATGTTATGCTATAGAAAAAATTAGCTTGTGCATTGTTTTGTCTGTGAACATTGAGTGCTGTTTCTAGTCTTTCTTTGATTAATGGCAATCATTCAAAATCAAAGAATTGGCAATCGAAATGTTACCGGAAGTGCCAAATATCCAGCACCTTTGAAGTTATGTTTGATATATATCATGGACTTCACGTGCGTAACATCTCGAATAAGTTCACATCATTTGACCCCGGAATGTGCAGACGTGTTTTGTATGAAGACACCCACGTGTAATCTATCAACACGGTAATTGTGTTATGTGTCTAAGGTTGGATAATAAACACACTAACAAAGAAACTCGACATGGATATCACAGACAGGTGTTTCATGCATTTTACACGTGCATGTCGATTGTTTATAATCAATGTGTTTAATTTCAATGCACGCGTATAAATTTTCTTTGTTGTAGGTTATTAAGACCGTGTTCCGGAAGTGTTGTACAGATCGAAGGCTTAAAATAAGACCTTCATTACATAAATATTCCTGCTGCATCTCTACACGATCTTTTGATCACAGGTAAATGATTTGCAGACTTGTTGATGAGAATATCGCTGCTTCATCTGAATTTACAAAGGGGAATTCGCAATATACTAAATATGACAACTCTCTGGAATAAAACCCTTAATGTACAACATCCAAGCTAAATTAAGATAACAGCAAAATCAAACCTTATTCCGTACAGCAAAACATGTATTAAGCAAGCGATCAGGGGAACGCTTAAAGTTGACTGCTTACTGAAGGGAGATGGTTCACAGAGGTATTATGCACCCAATGAATGAAGTATGAAAAGTTGATATTTAATTCTGGCTGCATCCAGGGGGTGGTGTTGAATAGTGTTGAATTTCATGTTAACTTGATAGTTAGTGGCCGTTGTTACAAGTTTGACTGTATATTCTTGTTGGTTTATCAGTTTCTAGGATGTTTTTTCTTATCTTAAATCTTTTGCTACTTATCATGTTTCTGAGGAGGCAGGAATTTCATTCAAACATTGAATCGAACTTAAAAGTATTTTTACAAAGTGGTGCCAAAGAAAACTTGAAGATTTTTTTATCGTTCCTCCAACACAAATATTTTCTGTTTTCAGAAACGCGAAGGTGTGATTCTCTCGATCTTGATTCTGATGGAGCACGAAATTCGATTTGTTTGAAAATAAAGTGTGATAATATTTCGGTTGTTTTTTAAGAAAACATAAAAAACATACTGATATTGGCCCACTTCCGGTGTTCTAACATATGGTACTTTAGGTTGGGAGCCGGACCTTAGAAGAAACACAGTACTAAACAGTATTTTACAATGTCATTGTGAAACTCGAACCCAGAGTACATCGATTCTCATTGCATAAACAATGCCTCCATGTTGAAAGATCATTCAGGTACCAAGTCAAAGTTGGTTTTATGAATCCTAGCAAAGCCCCCACAATGTAACGAAAGAAACTGCCTCAGATTTATAGCGGTGCCTAATTATTCGATTCCAGGCCAACTTCTCAATATGGATCAGCATATGAAATGAATAAGACCTCTACATTTTACTCAATGCAGTATGCAAAGGGGAAATTGTGCCAGGAACTAAAGTCTATCAGAATGCCAGAAATTTCCTCCAAGACAAACATGACCAACTAATATAATACACGGTGTACATATGGTTTAAATAGTTTAGTATTTTTGCCACAAATTGGTTTACATGGATTCCATATTGTATATCGACGCAAGACATAAATAAATAAACAAATTAACTGAATTTGAATAACTTAAAGCTAACATGTTATTACCAAATATCGCTGACGAATTGGGCGTTGAAGTTTGGCTAAACTGTTTTTAAAAAAAAAAACACTGCTATATTCAGATCCACTGAGCAATTTAAAGTTTCTGAAGCAGAATGAAGACTTATTTTATATCAGAAGCTCAACTACTATAGGACTGATGAACCAAGTCCACGGGCTATCCTTAAATATCCCTATCCTTAAAGGGCTCGCACCCCCAGCACCCCTATGACTCCTAGAACGCAGAATTGGGCGTTGATGGTTGGCTAAAAATCTGCAACATTCAGATCCACTGCAATTTAAAGCTTCCTGAAGGAGAATAAAGACTAATGTAATATCAGAGGCTCAACTACTATAGGAACTGGTTGAACCACTGCCCCATGGTCAATAAATCTACCATGTACAAAAATGCATGGATTCTAGATAAATTGAACACAGATTAATATAACAAAAAGTGAAGACTTACGCCCTGTTGGTTCAGTCTCATCTACATGAACTTTATTGTTCATTGCCGACGGATCTTTGGGTAGACACCTGAAATGGGAAAAGAGAAACATTTAAAGTTTGAAATAAGCATTTTAAGTAATATAATCGTGGACGAAAATGTTAATGAGTTGAAAAGTGTCCTCACTTCAACAGGCCACCTTTCGTCTTTTTGCAGAATGGTTTAGAGTGTTTGGGTTCGAGTTTCTGAATTTTAATATTCTAGAAATATTATGGGTGCATTGATAAAGTGTGGGGTACGTTTTCTCTGAAAATCTCCTTGTTGCCAGTTTTAGAGGTGCTTTATGTATTTTATTGGAAATTACAGATATTATTCTTAAAAGATATAAACTGTAACTGAATTAACATCTTTCCGCCATATTGATATTTATTGATTGAAATAATATAAGATTTGAACGACATATAGAAGCGAGTAGCACATATAACAAAACACAAGACAATATTATGGAATATAACAGACTTCTTTAATAAGATTAGGCACATAACGTTTCAACACATCATTACATCTGATGACGACACGTGTATATTGTGTTGAAACGTTATGTGCTCAACCTTATTAAAGAAGTGTTTTATATTCTATAATATTGTCTTGTGTTTTGTTATATGAAATAACAGATGAATGTTACATTATTTTGTATCTGTTAAATTGTTATCTGATGATTTTCAATGGCTAATGTTATTCTTAAACGGTAAAATGTTGGTCTGTACCATCTTGGTATATTTACTCAAATAGCAAAGGTGCATTTACAGATTTTACGTATTTTGTACCATTCTGTTATATAGTCTGATTCACCTGAACAAATATATAATGTTGATATATAAATAGGCGGAACTTTGTCGCTATGTTACTCCATTTTTTTTACTGTTAAAAACAAAATTATGTAAAATATAAAAAAAAAAAAAAATGAATATACCCGACAAATTTAAGCAATTTATGGCTTAATTAGATGCAAATTTAGCATTAATAAAATGAAAGTTTAAATTCCAATATTTTCTATTACAAGAATTCAGATATCCTAGCTCAATGTTTAGCACAAACGAAACATTCTTCTGTACCAAATGTGCGTCCGAACTATATCTTACGTTCCAGATACGTAAAAGCTAAGTCTAAATATTGCAATTGAATGATATGACCCTTTTAGCTGTCATGACAGTGATGACAAGATGAGCTATAGTCAATTAAATAAAGAGGTGACCAATAAACGCATCAAAGGAAACCACAAAGTTGGTCGTGTAATCCCACAAAACGAAATTAAAGTCTGTTATGTGTGTCAATGAATTAAAACATCCTTTGAAGTTGACTTAATCAAATTAATTCGGTTTAATTATAGCAACATAGGGCGTTTGTTTGCATAATTTTGACAATTGCTTGGGACAAAGACGCGAAAAATTGTTGTAAAATGATGAGAGAGGAATGACACCAAACAATCTTAATCTGATGTTGGAACATAAACTGTTACAGTATAAATATGAAGGTCATTATAGATTCACGGTTTCCTCATTGCACACTACATGGTGTTTTCTTCTTTTTTGTGAATGCAAGATATTCTGTAGCGGATCGAAAGTAAACGGGCCGAATGCCTCAGTTTTGAATCGATCAACAAACTTTAGAAGTTTTTTCAATTATGTACATGTATTTTAAATTCACCCGAATCCCAATCTCAAGGTATTACGTTTTCATCTTATACGGAATACTTTGAAGATGCCCGCCCGTACCCCTTTGCCTTGTAACTTGGATTGCGTTTGGCCTTGACCACATTGTCAGCAACCAATTCCAGTTGCATCAGATGTGAAAGGGGTGAGCTGGATTGCTTTTCTCTTCGCCACAGTACATATTGTTAAAGTGCTCAAACTTGATCGAGTTTTTGTAGAGCGAAAGTACATGTATTCCAGATCATTTTGTTTCTTGACCTATTTATGGTTTTAACCTGTTATTCAAGTTTTGGACGTAAAATTCCATTTCATATCACTACATTTCCTTGACCCAGATAGCGAACTAGAACTTGTTATGCAAATTCCTTCTCACACATCATACATCTGTTTTCATTCATGAACTATCCCATTCATTAATTCAAAACGTTCCCAGGCCAGTAAACTGCCAAAACTAACAATTCTTCCTAGCAGGTTCTTGTTATATTGTAACCCCTCGAGAATAAAGGTCACTGGAAGACATTTCTTATACATTCTGAACTGTCTGGTATTTCCAACCCGTTTTGGATAAACAATGAAAAAAGTAACAAGAACAATGCATAGTTTCTCTCGAATACGCTACTCAGCTATATACTGTTCATAAAATAGCGCCATGGAAATAAATAACTTCTTTCATTTTGGTTGCACATCAGGTATTTAAACGCAACATGTGCCATAAACGTTTTCAATTTTTTGACTCTAGGCAGTTTCAGTTTTAATACTTGATTGCTAAACAACATAACAGCCCTCTGTTTTACAAATTAATAAATCAAGTACTACATTATCCTTGCACATCAGGTATTTAAAGATGGGGTTTCCTCATTTTTTAGTGTCAAATTATGCAAACTATTTGATTAATTAGTGTTTCTAATGAATTATCATGTATTATTAATCATATCATTATGTTCTTCTTGCATATAATTAAGAGTTTTAACCAATCGGTCACTCATTGGAATTCTCTTTAATTTAGCTATTTATGAATTAATTATGGACTTGTGAGACAAACTGGTATTCTGTCATAAGAACGCTTCTACTTTCTATTCATAAATGAAAATGAGGGAACCCATCTTTAAGACGGAACATTTGATGATCGTGCCATTTTCGAGTCTGATGGAAATGTTGCAAGGGCAGTGGAAATAATTGGTACACACTTTAAGAAATCACGAAGTCACCTTGACTTAACAATATGGCTGAATGTGGTAAAAATCTTCTCATATTCTCAAATCTTTGAGAAATGACCCAGAAATCAGCTGAGAGATTTGATAACACCCTTGATATTCGTAACATTCAGGTAAAATGCCAGTGATCTACATTTCCCGACATTACTCGCGAGATTTCAACTTGACGTCTGCTCCTAGTTACGTAGGTCGCCATCTTGCTTTCATTGAGAAAACGTTGTTGATGGATTATAATGTCAAATCGATTGTTGTTTGGCTTGTTTTCTTGTAACAACTCGACATAAAGGTTGCCATTTTGGATTAGACCTTTGTCTTGAATTGATGTATGTTTCGCCATTTTGTTACTCGGTTAGTTAATTTTCTGTACTCGGCTAGTTTGGAAACCAGTTTCATCTTGTAAAAATGTCACGTACAGCCTAGCCTAATCCTGCTATAATCTAGGTTTTAGCACCATATTTGGTACATAACAATGAGGTTTTCGCCTCTTGGACCAAACTTATTTTTCATTGGGGTACGATTCTCCACTTCAAATCAAGTCGTAATGCACCATATCATCTTATTTTTAATCGAATTATGCAGACACAGATAGTAAAGTAGGTCAAATTGATGGCCATGAACAATAAAGTTTCCGTCTTTTGGACCAAACACATTGAGATGTTTACGATTGAGTACGATTCATCTCGAGATTAAATGTACAATGTAAAACTCAGTTAAAATGGAATTATTCAGACATAGAAAATAAAATAGGTCAAAATAGATGAAAATAAGCGTAATAGTCCATTAAAGGTTTAACTGAATTTAGCTGAATTTCTAATTACTGTAAAAGACAAAGAAGACAAAAAACGGTCAAATTTAATGGTTCAAATTTCTGAACTAAATTATGATTCAGAGTCTAAATGATTGAAGACTTTGAAAATTAGTGCAATGGTCAATTATTGGCTAGTTGGCTTAACATAAATCAGCTGCTATTATAATATACAAAGAAAAGAGAAATAGGTCAAATAGAATTCCAGGATTAATGAGGTCAAAGAATGATGGAACGTGATATAAATGTGATGATTGACAGGTGGAATGGAGGCTAACCTTCTTAACAGCTGCTGATCTGATTGATGAATGAATAACATACAATTTTAGCGTCAGATACGCCTGCCTGTAGTCCTATGCAGAGAAAGGATTGGCCCTTAAAATGATAGTATGAATCAATCCCGATAGACAAATTCGAATGAGGACCCAATGAGTTTTATAACAGTCAGGGCCCTACTATTAATGTGAACTGAGTTGATAACAAAGTCTGGGCAAAAAGAGCATTTGACACTTGATGGCGGTTAGAAATCATCAAAATGGATTTTAAACTTTTAGACCGACTGATAGCAGGTTTACATGAAAGTCTAACACTCTATGTGACAGCAATCTACCTGAGGCTTCTTAAAAACATGGATCTGCGAATCAGAGAATATAATAATTGAAAGCTATAAGTATCTTCACTACAAAAACAAGCCAGCAAAATAAAGCCAAAAGTATCATCAGCTGACATTTGGAACATTAATGAGGTCTGAAAGTTGTGTCTGATGAAAGGAAATCAAATATTATCAGACGGTGGAAGGTGCCAGACCTATATTATAGTGTAATTGGTTACATCTGACATCATCATTACCTCAACAACAAAGAAACAAAAGCTTTTTATCCAGACTCTTTGACCATGACAGTAAGATGAATGCTGTAACACTTTATTACAAATGAGCCGAGCGTTGTATCCAGACTCTTTGACCACGGTATTAATCTGAATGCTGTAACACTTTATTACAAATGAGCCGAGCGTTGTATCCAGACACTTTGACCATGGTACTAGGTTTAGAGCTATAACAATCAAGAATAACGGAGCAAAAAAACTTTGCGATCCCTGAATCAAGCTGATCGCTATGATAAATACAACTTGTAACTTTCCAAGTCGCAATCCATGCGAGAGTGTCTACCAGTCGATAAAAGCAAATTGGGATGAACGAGTATTACAGAACAAATCAAATAGCCACCCAAACTGGACTACAGGTGACATAATTGCATAAATTAGTCATGTGGACACTTGACAAGGTATTCTAAGATTGTATAGTTTAGTTATGGGTTTTCTCGTATTATTGCCTTTTATCTAACAGCTTGTAATAAATA